GTGTGTGTGTGTGTGTGTGTGTGTGTGTGTGTGTGTGTGTGTGTGTGTGAGAGAGAGAGAGAGAGAGAGAGAGAGAGAGAGAGAGAGAGAGAAGGGACAGAGAGAGCGTAAAGGTGCAGGGGCCTATCTTTTAAAGGGTTCCTCTGCACCTGCGTGCAGACTTCTTTCCCATGGAACCTTGGGCTGACCAGGGTATTGCCTGAGTGGATTCTGACAGATAACAGATGCAGGCCAGCATAATGCCTGAACCTTTCACCTGGTACTTACTACATTGTTAAGGCTGGTCTGGAACGTGTAACAGTACCCTGCCTCAGCCTCCTGAGTATTGGGATGACAGTCACAAACACTACACCTAACCCTTATGCTAAATTTTTAAAGTTATTTCTGGTACTCATTGATAATAAGTAACCCATCGTTCTGAAAATATTTTTTTCTTAGTCATGTAAAAAAATTCTGAGTGTAGAATTTTAGCTTTGTCATTTTCAAGACTGTATTTCATTGTCTTCTGGTTTCCATTGTTACTGTTGAAGACAATCATCATTATTTCATTGATTCTTTAAGGTAATCTGAATTTTTCCATCACTCTGAAGATGTTTTAAGATGGGTCTAGATTCAGCTTGGGCTTAAGAAAGCTATTGTATATGACATTTTTTTATTATTTTAAAATTTTCTTTTAATATATTCATACTATTTATTTTCTTTGTGGTGTGTATATGAGAGAGACAGACAGGCAGGCAGGCAGGCAGGCAGTCAGGGAGACATACATGTAGTTTTTCATTATGTAGCCCCAGTTGGCTTGGAACTTGCTATGTAGATCAGGTTATGTAGTCGGAGTTTTCCTATCCCACAGCCGCTCTCAAATAACACACTGAGGATTATATTAATTATAAATGCTCTATCAATAGCTCAGGCTTCTTACTAACTAGCTCTTAGAACTTAAATTAACCCATTTCCATTAATCTATATTCTGCCACATAGCTTTTACCTCTAACCCATTTTGTGTGTCCTACTTGTTCTGTGTCTGGCTAGTGACTCTTCTGACTCCACTCTTCTTCCTTCCAGCATCATTTTAGCCTCATTTTTCCACCTAACCTCCTCCTGCCCAGCTATAGGCCAATGATTTCTTTATTAGCCAATGAGAGTAATACATATTTATAGTATACAAAAAGATTGTTCTACAACAAGGCTATCCTCACACTCCTAGAGATCTACTTGCGTATACCTCCCAAGTGCTGGGATCAAAGGTGTATTTCATCACACACAGCACCAGCTTTCTTCTGAGGATGTGTAAATAGCCCCAATTGGTAAAGCAGTGTCTAAGAAGAAAGTCTAAGGTTTTGGTGAGTCAATCATGGCTGTGCTGAATAGTAAGGTAGAATTTAAAGGCAAAGACTCTTACATTTTGTTATTAGTAGCAATCTTTGATAATCTTGATTGCCTCAAGAAATATTTCTTCTCCCAGTACTTGTGACACTGTGTTTGATAATTACCTTTGCTTTTACCATGCCACTTTCTGTGTATGAGAGATTGGTCTATATGTTTCTTTTTTCCTGAAAGGTTCTAAGTCCTTTAGGCCATGCCAGCCATAGCTATAGGCAGTATGAGAGCCTCACCCATAGTCAGAACAGGCTGGGCTCCTCAGCCTCACTGCTGACATGATTGGCAGATGGTTCTGTGTTGTGAGTAGTTGTTGCAGCATGTGTACCGTTGGATGTTTTGTGCTGTTGGATACCCAGCAGAGTCTGCCTCCTACCTGCTAGAGGTCTACATACTCCCTTCTTCCACGGTGATGACCAAAGATTTCTTCAGACTTAAATTTCCTACCGGGGAAAAATTACTCTTCAGAACTGCTGTTGTAGAACTGGGAAATTTGAGTGAGAATGTCAGCCTTGCCATTATCCCATCTCTGTTTGGTAAGCTGTTTCACCTATAGGCTGAAAGTTTCTTTTCCTGAAAAGTGAGAATGATTTATTGGGTATTTAATCTGTTTTGTAGATTGCTTTTAGAGTCCTTAAACCCAGCTGGGCAGTGGTGGCACACACCTTTAGTCCCAGCACTCAATAGGCAGAGGCAGGTGGATCTCAATGGATTCGAGGCCAGCCTGGTCTACAAAGCGAGTTCCAGGACTGCCAGAACTGTTTCACAGAGAAACCCTGTCTTGAAAAAACAAAAACAAGAAGAATCTTTAAACCCTTGAAAATTAGAACAGATTTTATATGTTTTTCTGGGATAACATTCTTTCAGCATTTTTTCAAACTTACCTTTTGGGGGTCATACCCCAAAAGAGTAAATGTTTATGTAAGTGTATAGATAATATGCATAGTTATTTTCTTCTATTAATATATAGAAGTCTAGCTGGGTGTTGGTGGCGCACGCCTTTAATCCCAGCACTCGGGAGGCAGAGGCAGGTGGATCTCTGTGAGTTCAAGGCCAGCCTGGTCACCAGAGCGAGTGCCAGGATAGGCTCCAAAGCTACACAGAGAAACCCTGTCTCGAAAAACCAAAAAAAAAAAAAGAAGAAGAAGAAGTCCTACCTTATGTTCAGCATTTGTGCTTTGATAACTCTATTTGTGACTTTGTCCCACCAGGATCTGTTAATGCTGGCAGAGGTGTACTCTGCACTATTTGCTTTGTGTTTTTGAAAAAGGTTCCCAAGCTAGGTGGTGGTGGTGGTGGTGGTGGTGGTGGCGGCGGCGGCGGCGGCGGCGGCACACACCTTTAATCCTAGCACACGGGAGACAGAGGCAGGCAGATCTCTGTGAGTTTGAGACCAAACTGGTCTACAAGAGCTAGTTCCAGGACAGCCTCCAAAGCCACAGAGAAACTCTGTCTCGAAAAACCAAAAATAAAAGGGAAAAAAAAGGTTCCCAATATATAGCTTTGGTTGGCTTAGCTCAAAATGCAAATCAGGCTGGCCTCAAACTCATATATTACCACCTCATACACCATTCAGAGCAAATGTCCATGCTTAGCCTCTACTTCTTTTGAAACTTGCCTCTTGAGGCAGTGCTGATCAGGGAAATAAGGGCAGTTACTAGCATGTGCAGTAGAGCATTCAGATATGGTACCATTTGGTATTCTGCTCTTAGCCTGTTTTTCTTAGCCTTTTAAACCCAGCATGACTGATTGTGTGTGTCCCAGAGCTCCTGAGTCAGCTGGTCACTATTTCTGGACTGATTAGATTTCATGGCCTGGAGTTGGCCCTGTGAAACTTATTCAGACTGCTGCTTTATAAGGTCCCACATCTGTTAGAACAGGTTCTCCCTGCATGTAACTTCAAACCCATTCTGCTGTTCACTTTGGGAAGCTGAGGACGTATCTCTTAGATTGGGTTTTTAGCCAGAGTTTCCTTTTGTCATGCTGCTGAGCAAGGAGGTGAACTGTGCTCTGTCTTTTACAGGTGAATTTGGAAGGCAAAGCCAGTCCTTTGTCACTCCTACAGATGGCTTCCCCAAGTGGCTTCTGTTCACTGATTCGCTTGCCCAGGCTGATCTATGGAGGCAAAACACTACCACGAACTCTTTTGGACATACTAGCAGATGGCACCATCTTGAAAGTAGGAGTGGGATGCTCAGAAGATGCCAACAAGCTTCTACAGGATTATGGCCTCATTGTACGGGGGTGTCTGGACCTCCGCTACCTAGCCATGAAGCAAGGGTATGGTTTGTATGCATGCTAGGATGCCTGTAGCTATGGGGCAAACATGATACAAGTGCTGCAGGTACTGGGGAATCAATAATGAAGCATTTAGAATTCCATAGAAACCTAAAGGCTTTGAAAGTGCATGTTGAACTTGTGAGGAGACATAGCAATGTCTGAGAAAAGTTTGCTTAGCTAAATTTCTTTTCTGATCAACCTCTCATCACTTGTAAAGGAGAAATTATGAACCAGTGGCCCACTGGCTAAGTTGGAGCTTTAGGGTTTGTTTATTTTTTTCCCCATGTAAAATCTGTGTAAATCCAGAAGATTAAGTAAAAGAATCTGTACTTGTGGTTTCTCTTGAGAAATTAGATGACCTGACCTCAGAGTTCTGAGTTACAGATGGCAACAGTGGGCCAAGTTTGGGCTTTCCTTTTTTGGTTCCTGTACTCAGTTTAACTTCCCAGGTCTTTACTACTCCTGTAGTAGACCTGACTTCTGGTCAGCATTTTAGTTTGCAAACCAGCCTTATGCCCAAATAATGGTCAACCTTGCCCTAGACTTGGAAAGGGAGGCTTCCCTTCTTAGCATTTTCTTCTGTAGAAACTATTTCACTCCATCTTTCAGGGGTCACGATTTCTCAGGTACATGCACAATCCTCATTTATTCATTATTTATTTATTCCTTAGATTTTATTTATTTTTATGAGTGTTTTGCCTGAGTGTATGTTTGTGTCTGTGGAGGCCAGAAGAGGGCATCAGATTCCCTGGAACTGGAGTTACAGAAGGGTGTGAGACACTATGTGGGAGCTAGGAACTGAACCTGGGTCCTCTGCAAGAGCATCAAATACTCTTAACTGTTGTACCATCTCTCCAGAAACCACAGTCCTCATGTATACTCTCTGGGCTTTGGAGACACTTAAATGAATGTACATAAATTAAAAGTACATTGAGCTCTCTGAGGCTGAGGCAGGAGGGTGTAAGTGTGAGACCAGCCTGGGCTAGATCGTGAGCACCTGTCTCAAAAATAGCCCCAAAAGAGAACTGGGCCAAAGGAATATTATCATGAAATAATAATGTACAAGTTGTGGTTAGAAATAAGAATGAAATTGTGGCCAGGTGGTGGTACATACCCTTAATCCCAGCACTTGGGAGGCAGAGGCAGGTGGATCTCTCTGTTTTTGGTACTGAGAATTGAGCTTCAGGACTTGAATAAATTAGACAAGTGCTGTATCATTTGTTATATTTCCAGCCCAAGCCCCTTCATTTTAAATGAAATTTTACTATAATTAAAGAAATTATTGACCATTATTGACATTACCCAGCCCCTATTTTATTTTATATTTTGTTTCATTTTATTGCTGGAGATAGAACCTAGGGCCTTATACATGTTATGCATTTACTTCACCAGGTCCCACTTTTGTGGTTTTTAATAGAACTAAAGAAAATTTAGTATCTCCCCCATATCATTAATTTCATGAGTTTAACCAAGAGCTGTTTTCGGTCTCAGGCAGTGTGATGTGACTGTTGACTGCTTGTTTGGTAAGGGAAGGCTTCCTATTCTTCTTCATCACAGCGGTGAGAGCTGTGCTGTAACACTGACAGGAGCCTTTGCTTGCTCTGTGACTTCCAGATGCTCACTCTGGGTCATTGTCATAAGTTGTCTGTTTTCACGTACTGATTTTCCTTGTTACTGTTTTGGTGTCAGGGATTGAATCCAGGACCTTGTGCATGCCAGGCAAGTACTCCACCACAGAGGTGTTGTTAGTGCTGCTGGGTATTGATCCTAGGGCTCTATGTGTGCTGGGCAAGTGCTGTATGGACTAACCCACGTCTATATTCCTTGCCCACTTTTACTTTTTTTAAAAAAAAGTGTGTCCATTAGGCATTAGGACTCTTTTTCTTTTTCTGGCAAGGTCTCACTATGTTCCCTTACTAGCACGGAACTTATTGTATAGACCAGCCTGTCCTCAAACTCACAGAGATCCTTTTGTCTGTGCTTTCCATGTGTTGGATTAAAAGTATATATATCACCATGCCTGGCTGGCTGATTCCCTCCCTTCCTCCCTCCCTCCCCCCCCTTTTTTTAAAGACAATTCTGGGAAGATGGTTCAGTGGGTAAAAGTGCTTGCCTAAGTTTGAATCTCCAGAACCCTCGTAAAGCCAGGTGAGGTAGTGTATGTCTAAATCCTAGAGCTCTGTATGATGTGAGAGGTGGAGACAGGAGAATCCCAGGAAGCTCCTTGGTTAGCTAGCCTGGCATATGTAGTTGCGAACAGCAAAGAGACTCTGTCTCAAACAAGGAAGAGGATAAGGACAGATATTCAAGGTTGCACTGCATTTATACAAATGTGCATACACACACACACACACACACACCCAAAGATTTAAACATTTTAAATGAATGAGTAAGATCTCAAGTAGCCCTGCTAGTCTGGAACTGTATGTAGCCGAGGATGATCTTGGACTTCTGTTCCTTTTGCCTTTACTTCCCAAGTCCTAGAATTCTAAGAATGTACCACCATACTTGTTTTCTTAATGTTTAATGTTTTCTGTGTGTGTGTAAATTTCATTCTATTTACTTAAAATTTTATTTGTGTATGTGTGTGTGCGTGCGTGTGCGTGTGCGTGTGCGTGTGTGTATGAAAGAGAGAATGTCCCCCAAGGTACACATGTAGAGGTTAGTGTTATTGTTTTGTTTAAAAAGAAGAAAAGAGAAATGCTGAGACATGAGACATGTTGACTATAAGTTTATTATAAGGCCCGGCAGAGTAGGGAGACTAAGAAGAGGAAAGGAACAGGGTAAAGGGCTGACTGCCATGGCCAGTCGCCATAGACAGACCAAGAGAGAGCATAGGGGGGAGACAGAGTAGAGAGAAAGCAGGGAGAGGAAACAGAGTGGAAACAGAGAGCGTAAATGGGCAGGGACCTGTCTTTTCAAGGGGTCCTCTGCACCTGCGTGCAGACTTAGTTCCCATGGAACCTTGGGCTGACCAGGGTACTGCTTGTTCCACCAGGTAACAGGGGCAGGCCAGCATAATGCCTGAACCTTTCATTCCCACCTCTACTTATTATTAAAAAAAGGTGGGAGTGTTAGACATGGCAGGTTAAGGAGTAAGGGCGTCGAATTCTCAAGACTGTTTCCTGCTGATGTGGGTGGCGTTGACCATCTTTGGGGGACCTGAGAAGGTTAGAGTGCTGCCATGTCCTGGGGTAGCTGGTTGTTTCATTGCAGTCCAGGCTGTATGGAACTCCTGGCGCCAAAATGTTATTCTTTTATCTAAAAAGAAGACAAAAGAAATGCTGAGACATATTGACTATAAGTTTATTATAAGGCCCGGCAGAATGGGGAGACTAAGAAGAGGAAAGGAACAGGGTAAATGGCTGACCACTATGGCCGGTCGCCATAGAGAGACCGAGAGAGAGCATAGGTGGGAGACAGAGTAGAGAGAAAGCAGGGAGTGGAAGCAGAGTGGAAACAGAGAGCGTAAATGGGAAGGGACCTGTCTTTTAAAGGGGTCCTCTGCACCTGCGTGCAGACTTAGTTCCCATGGAACCTTGGGCTGACCAGGGTACTGCTTGTTCCACCAGGTAACAGGGGCAGGCCAGCATAATGCCTGAACCTTTCAGTTAGAGGACAACTTGTAGGAGTACATTATTTCCTTATACCGTGTGGATTGGGATTAAACTCAGCTTGTCAGATCTGGTGGGAGGTGCCTTTATTCCTGTGCCAACTTACTGGCCCACTGATGTTTTCTTAATTGGTTACTCTAATTTTCAAAGATCAACGATAAAATCCTTTTTGTTACCTCACATCAATTTTTAAATGATTTGTTTGTGTTTATTTGATGTGTACAGGTGTTTTCCCTGCATGTATGTAAGTACTCCAGATGTGTGCAGTGCCTGATGTGGCAGAGAAGGTGTCAGATTCCCTGGAACTGGAGTTACAGATGGTTGTGAGCTGCCATGTGGGTGCTGGGAACCAAATCTGAGTCCTTTGCAAGATCAGCAAGTGCTCTTAACCTCTGAGCCATCTCTCCAGCCCCCTGCAACAGTTTTAATCAGAAAGTTTTGAAGAATAGAAACAATTACTGGTTTTTAATACTCTTACCTCCTAGACAACAATAGCTTTGTCATTTTTATTTATATATATAAAGCATAAGGCATGAGTACCATTGAAGGATATTTAGTCTGCTTACAATTCTTGCTACATATAGTGCTGCAGTGAATATCCACTTGAGTTTCATTGTCCTTTGGGTAAACTCCCAGAAAGGGAGATGCTAGATCAGAGAGTTTTTGTATTTGAGTTTTTGTTAGTTATTTATTATTAAACTTTTTCATAATCATAAAGAGGGCCAATCCACCAATTTTATATGAGTTGAATTGATTTTTATGCCTCATTGATACTAGATGTATGTGTTTAAAAAACAAAACAAAAACCATTGTAAATCTGATAGCAAATCATCATTTTCTTTGATTTCTTGTGCTTATTTGTCTTCTTTACTGGTCATTTAAAAGTTTTCCTTTTCATGCCATTTTCCCATTTTTGATACATGCTTTTATTTATTTCTTATAGAAACAATATACTCTGTAATGGGCTTAGCCTGAAATCACTTGCTGAGACTATTTTGAACTTTCCACTTGACAAGTCCCTTCTACTTCGTTGCAGCAACTGGGAAGCTGAGAATCTTACTGAAGACCAGGTACTTGTTATCAGAGTAGTTGATTCTAATCTTCAATATGAGCATTGGGTAGTGAGACTGTAAAGTTGACTGTTAGGTGATGCATTAGGAGTCCTATTGCATTTTAGTTTTGAATGTGCAGGACACTTCATTATAATGATGGTTCAGGCAGGAGACTTACAGCAGGTAGATTGGGCTAACTAAATGTGTAGACAGAAGTTTCTTTACCATCCAGACCCACAGCCTTTTAGTTCCAAATAAATGCACAGAGGCTAATATTAATTATAAACTGTTTGGCTGAAAGCTTAGGCTTCTTATTGGCTAGCTCTCTCTTAATTATTAACACATTTCTATTAGTCTGTGTATCTCCACATGGTCTTGGCTTACTGGTGATGCCCAGACCTTTTGCTTCCTTGGCAGCTATATGACATCTCTTTGATGATTCACTCTCTGTGTTCCTCTTCCCAGAATTCTTCTAGTCTGGTAGTTCCACCTATACTTCCTCTTGGCTACATCCTGCTTATCCATTGGACAAAACAGCTTTATTCATCAACCAATAAGAGAAACATATATTTACAGAATACAGAAGGACCTCCCCATCAAATATGATCTCAGGGCGAATGAATCAGTTCATATACACGTTTCTTGTGGCTCTTTATTCTTCAAAAGATGTTCTTCCCAAAGTTCTCTCTCAAAAAGCTCTCTTTAAGATTTCTCCTCAAAAGTTCTTTCTCTAAAAGTTCTCTCTTAAAGTTCTGTTTAAAAGTTCTTAAAAATTCTCCTAGAGTCCTTTCTAAAAATTCTCATATATCCCACAAGGCTTCCAGTTTATATACCCAATACAGATACAATTAACAACTCTCTGACAATAGCAAGAATACCAGGCATGCATGTCTCTAAGAACCAGGAAGGCAGATAAAATCTTGAGAAAAGCAGATACCTCAACACCTCAGGGAGGATATGACTTGTAAAACATGCTGTTAACTTATTAAAGGGGACTTCTCAGCACTATATCAAAGGGAAAAACTAAGGCTATGTAGTGTGAGATCCAGAGGCTGTAGCTCTTACTGTGGATGCCCCAGTGAGAAGCAATTTTGAGAATATAAAGTACCCAGTATATATTCTCTATCAGAAGTTAATTCTGGTGGGTGATACCTAGAATATTAATTGCTAGTTCTGTAGTAAATGATAAAGGCTCCAGCATCAGAAAATGTGTTTTTCCAGAAATACAAATGCATAAACATTTTTTAAAGTACTGTAAATCTTACCATAAGAAACAGTAAGTAGTTCTCTGCCTTTCTTACCCCATTGTTTCTTTTGCTTTTTCTTCTCAGAGGTGACCATTTTAATTTCTTTCTGGTAATTACCTTTATACTTCCAGATTACATGCATGTATCATTTTTCTTATTTGTTCCCTACCCCATCTTCCCAATATAAATAAATAGCCCATTTTCATCAGGAACAATACTTTGTTTTCTTAGGATATGATGTTTATATTTTTGTTTCCTTAGTATTCTGTACACTGTTGACTTAACCCGAGCCTATTTAGCAGAATTGTGGCTCTTGACTGTCTCAGATTGAGTAACTAAACACACTTACCCTGTTTCCTGTGGTTCTGTCCCTACAGCCCTCTGCTGTCCATCCCCCTGTGGCCCAGCCCTCTGCTGTCCCCTTATAGTCCTCTGTTGTCCCCCCTGTGGTCCTTTGCTGTCCTCCTACAGTCATGTTGTGGTCAGGAATGTTGGCTGTCCAGACATGCTGCCTACCACATGCTGAACTTTGCTTCTTCTATCTATCCGTGGCTTGTGGCTCCCTTCACCTCTCTTCTATAGTAGCTCCTGAAGTGTCTAAATCCCATGTCTTTTCCTTTTCTTACCCTGCATGTCTGAAAGAATAAGTGATTTGCCTCTATTAGTTGTTTAGGGCAGAAGCCATTTTCTTTTAGAACTTTGAAGGCCCTGCTCCTCATATTCCTGCTTCTAACATTAGAATGTGTGGCTGTTATTTCTGGAAGTTCTTCTCTGTCCTTCTTTGTTTGAAGTCCTTGATGACAAGCATGAGTAGAGGCCATGTCCTAACTTATGGTGGTAGGATTTAGTGGACCCTTTCTGTCTGGTTGCTCCTTCCTGTCCTCTAGTTCAGGAGAGAATGCTCAGATTATTTTCTTTGAAAATTTCCTACTCTCCTTTTTGTATTTTAGAGCTTATTCTTTTTAGATTATTGGATCCCCCAAATTGATCCTCTAATTTTCTTTTTCTTGAGACAAAGTCTCGTGTTGTCCGCTCTCTGTCTCCATCTTGGGGTGGGTGTGCTGGATTCATGCTACTGCATCTGGCTTTTTATGCAGGTTCTGGGGTTGGAACTCAGGTGGCCAGACTGGCATAGATAACACTTTTACCTGCAGCTGTCTCTTCAGCCCTGAGTAAATGTTGTTAAAATAGCCTTTTGTTTCTATTTAATGGATGCAATATCTTTGTATTGGATCTTTGTTTTGACCACCAGTTCCTGAATAATGACACTGAGACTTCTTATTAATTGTGAAAGCTTGGCCTTAGCTTAGGCTTGTTCAAACTATCTCTTAAAACTTAACGCATTTATATTAATCTATGTTTTGCCATGTGGCTAGTTACCTCTCCTTAGTACTGTATGTCTGACTTCCTCTGAGTCTGACTGGTAAATCTCCTCTATCTCTAATTCTTTCCCAGAGTTCCTATCTCTTTCTGGAAGTCCTTCCTGTCCTCTGCTGCCTAGCTATTGGGCTGTTCAGCTCTTTATCAAATCCCTCAGAAGGTGCCTTAGGCAGGTGAGATAAGAACTGACACATCTTCACACAGTGTACAGAAAGACTATCCCAACATATTTTTACATAGAGTAGTAAGGATTTCTGGTTTTCTTCCATTTCTTGTATCACCTGTTTTTCCTCAGAATTCCTTCTCATAAATGCTTGTTTTGTTTCCTGGCACTCATGTTTTTTCCAGATGTTTAGAACCTTGGCTGTCCATTCATATTTAAGGAAACATAAGGGTTAAGGATATAGATTTCATGACATGCTCTAGGCCTGGACTCAGTTTACAGTACCATACGAGAGAGAGAGAGAGAGAGAGAGAGAGAGAGAGAGAGAGAGACTGATAAGAAAATCTGGGTGTGGTGGCGAACTCCTCTGATCCCAGCAGAGGAAGGCTGGTCCCTGAGTTCAAGACCAGCCTGGTCTATAGAATGAGTTCTGTGACAGCAAGGTCTAACTCATTTAGGGGCTTGTCTGTCTCCTGTCTCTATCAAGATGCTGAGGCAGGAGACTCACTGCAGTTTGAGGCCAAGCTGGTCTACGAAGAGACTCTGTCTCAGGAATCAGAGAGAATGAATATAAATGAATATGAGACTCTGAGTTATGCTAAGTGAGAAAAGCCAGTCACAGAGATTATATAGTATGTAATTCCATTTCCTTGAAACATCCAAAATAGGTTGTTTCAGCGGGGAACAGAGAACTACTAGAGGATATATGGTTTCTTTGTGGATTAGCCAATGTCCTGATTGATTCTTGTTTATAATTGCTTAGTTCTGTCCGGATGCTAAAATAATTGAACTAGATCCTGAGTGAATTGTCTGGCACATGGCTTAGAGATCAAGAAAACTATCATGTAAAAAATAGTTTATTGGCAGTGGTATCAAATGTGTGATTCTTACTATAGTTTTTTTTTTTTTTTCCAGTATAGAGGATTGAACCCAGTACCTTGTGTGTACTAGGCAAGCAGTCTACTGAGCTATAGCGTCAGCCCCATTTATGATGCTTGATTACATACTGAATCAGGATCCTAATTTGTAAAAGACTAATATTATTAGGACCATTGGAAACAGTAAAACTATATATCTGCTAATGTTCTTGTATTGTGCCAGCATTAAAATTCTTAAGTGTTATGATTATGCAGGAGAATTCCCTGAGCTGAGGAAATACATCCTCACATATTTAGAGGTGAAGTATCTTTTTTGTTACATTTTTATTTATTGTGTGTGTTCCCTGATGGCACAGTGTGTGGAAGTCAGAGGACAACTTGAGGGAGTCAGTTCTCTCCTGGGGATTGAACTGGAGTGGTTAGGCTTGGCAGCAAGCACTTTTACCCATTGATCCCCTCTTACTGGCCTACGGTGAAGTCTTCATAGGTACAATTTAACTTTAATATTCATCTAGTAAAAAAGTGTATGATATTTGTGTTGTAAAAAGTTAAAGTCAGCGGGGCGTTGGTGGCGCACACCTTTAATCCCAGCACTCGGGAGGCAGAGGCAGAGGCAGGCAGATCTCTGTGAGTTCAAGGCCATCCTGGTCTCCAGAGTGAGTGCCAGGATAGGCTCCAAAGCTACACATAGAAACCCTGTCTCGAAAAACAAAAAACAAAAAAAAGTTAAAGCCAGTAGTGGTAGTCTGTGCCTTTAATCCCATAACTCAGGAGACAGAGGTGAATTGATCTTTGTGAATTTGAGCTCATACTGGTCTACATAGCAAGTTCTAGGACAGCCAGGGCTACATAGTAAGACCCTGTCCCAAAATAGGTAAAAATGAGCATTTATTGACTGTTATGAATGTCAATTCTCATATTCCCTTGGCCTCTCTGGGGTTTGAAAACTTTCAAAATAAAAAGTTAGTGGGCAAAGTTTATTGTTATCAAAGTTGAAGCCCAATTTATGATCCTCATTGCTATGGAATTGAGACTTTTCAAAGGTTATTGTTAGTTAATAATTTTTTTGAGAGTTAATAATTCTTAATTGGGGCCAGCAAGATGGCTCAATGGATAATAGTACTTGCCACTAAGCCTGGAAACCTTAGTTCAATCCCTAGGATCCACTTGGCAGAAGGAGACAATTGACTGTAGCAAGTTGTCCTATGACCCCTACACACACACACACACACACACACACACACACTGTGGCACAAGTAGCTGTACATACATATAGATAAACAATGTGACAAAGTATTTAGCAATGCTGTTTTTTGTAACTATAAGCATAGTGGTTAAGATTTCAGAATAGGGGGCTGGAGAGATGGCTCAGCAGGTAAGTACTCCTGCTCTTCCAGAAGATCTAAATTCTATTCCCAGCTCCAAACATAGTGACTCACAACCACCTGTAACTGTTCCAGGAGATTCGGTGCTCTCTTCTAGCCTCCATAGGCAGCAACTACACATACATACATTCAGGCAAATATTCATAAAATAAAATAAAAATAAGTAAATAAAGCTGGGTGGTGATAGTACACGCCTTTAATCCCAGCACTTGGGAGGCAGAGGCAGGTGGATCTCCGTGAGTTTGAGGACAGCCTGGTCTACAAAGCACTGTATTTCCAGGACAGCCAGGACTATATAGAGAAACCCTGCCTTGAAAACAAACAAATAAAATACATATCAACTTGTCTGCACAACAGGGCTGAGAAACTAACTCTTCCTGCCTCAAAATAGTAAAAATTTAAATCACAGGGGCTGGAGAGATATCTTAGTGGTTGGGGCTACTCTTCCAGACAGGGTCTTACTGTGTAGTCCTAGGTGACCTGGAAATGTATGTAGACTAGGCTAGTCTCAAACTGACAGATCTGCTTGTTTCTGTAGGGATTAAGGGTTTGTGCCACCAAACTGACTGTTCTTTTTTTTTTTTTTTTCTTTTTAATGGTGGTAAGTGAAAAATGATTTTATTAAGATTAATTTCTATGTAATAAAGTTGACCTTTTAAAATGCCAGACATGGTAACACATACCTCTAGTATCACCTTTGGGAACTGGAGTCAAGAGTGTCTCTAGCTCAAGGCCATTCCAACCTATATAACTAGATTTTTTTCTCAAAAAAGGACAAAGCTTGGCATCCCACTAATCCTAGACAGGTTTAGGAGCCCCAGGAGTTTGTCCATCTCTAGTTTTCCAATTCTGGGATTACAGGCAAATGCCACCATACCCAGCTTTTTTACATGGTCTCTGGGGATCAAACTTATGTCTTCATGCTTGCAAGGCAAACACTTTATCAACTGAACTATCAATTCAGCTACCATAGTAGACTTTTATTTTTGTTTGGTTTTGTATTAGAGATAGAGTCTCACACTGTAGCTCATATGGGCCTTAACCTCAAGGCAGTCATACTCCTGACTCAGTTTCCCAAGTGCTGGGATTAGCAAAATATCTGAGAGAGAATGGGGGGGGGTGTTTGAATCCAAGGTTTTATACTACTAAGCAAGTGCTACCCTGAGTAGTTTCCAAGGCACTTGTAATTGACTTTGAAGGTACTGTGGCTTGTCTTCCATATTCTACTGACCTCTAACTTTTCTCTTCAGGTAACTTATGCTGCCAGGGATGCGCAGATTTCAGTGGCTCTCTTTCTCCATCTTCTTGGATACCCTTTGTCTAGAAATTCCTATGAGGAGGAAAACAATGACCAAGTCAACTGGCGGAAAGTCTTGGAGAAATGCAGAGCTATGGTAGACATCCCATTCCGAAGCAAGGGACTTGGCCGATTGTGTGAAGAACTTAATGGCGAAGCACTGGAGTCTCAACAGAAGCCAAGAAATAGGAAGGCTAAGCCTGATGGAATGGTACTAGGCAGCAACCAAGGGAGAGACCCCAGGAAGCATAAAAGAAAACCCCTGGGGGTGGGCTATTCTGCCAGGTAACTCATATGTTCCATGCTGATGAAGAGCTTTACCGAGTCAGGCAGCAGAGACTCTCCAGGGTTAATGAAACTTTCCCTGCTTTTAGTGACATTTGGGCTACACTTCTCTTTATTTGTGTATTTTTCTTTTCCTCTTCTTTTATTTTTCTGTTTGCCAATTGGAATAGAAATGAAGAGAATGTACCCTAGCTTTGTCACTGACTGTTTGGCTTGTAACTTTACCTGTAAAAGAGGTATTAGGCCATAGAGATGGCTTGCCAGGTAGAGGCACTTGCTGCCAAACCTAATGACCTGAGTTTAGTCTTCAGGACCCACACGGTAGAAGGAGAGAACTGACTCCCAAAGTTGTCCTCTGATCTCCACATGCACAATGTGTGTGCCTCTCTCCAAAATAAGTGAGTGGTAATGAAATATTGAAGGGGATATAATTTTATCTCTTGTTTGAGAATGTTATGAACACGAATAACATGAAGTCCTCATATTTACCAGGATAAATGGTAAATTCTTCAGATTTCTTGTTCATGAGTGTTTCCAGCCCCACACCAGCTTTATGGTGTAGCTAGTGAGACTCTCCTGTGTGACTGACTGATACCTCTTGAGGAGGTTAAGTAGTAAGTTTGTTCCCTGGAGCATGGCACTTTAGGGATTAGATGATTAAAATGAGGGAAGCATTGCCTGTGAGCCAGAAATCAACCCACATGGCCCTCATTACTTTATCTTGAACTTTTACAGTTTTCATTTACAGTTTAATTCAGTGATTTGGCAGCTTATTGGTGCTCTGTTCCTGTTTTCATTCACCGCAGAGCTCTGTGAACAACTCCCAAATCACTTCCTGGTGTCTCAGTCCATAAGAGTTCATTTGTAGCTCTGCTTCCTAGCCAGTGCTTACTGAGGATTGACTGTGGTTTCCTGCCTGTTTTTCCGTATGCAGTGTGATTGATTCTGGTGTTAAAAACAGTTTGAATCACTAAGAAGGGAGTGTGGGAAGGTCTTGTAGCTTGACCAACAGCTTTCAGTATGAGATTTCTTTTCCCTGCAGAAAATCACCTCTTTATGATAACTGCTTTCTCCAAGCCCCTGATGGGCAGCCTCTATGCACCTGTGACCGGAGGAAAGCTCAGTGGTACCTGGACAAAGGCATTGGAGGTATGAGACTCATTTGCCATATTTATGTATAATTAGGGTCTTGATGTGAGTGGAGTATGGAAGAGAGTGAATAGAGGAAGACAAAGAGACCTTGAGATGTGTGGGTAGTCATAACCCAGCATTCTCTGCTAGCACATCACAACAGTTTAAGAGGGCTTCTTGGTAGTAGAGGTGGGAGCAGCCCAGCACTGATGTGTTTTCTTTTTCCTAAGAGCTGGTGAGTAAAGAACCTTTTGTGGTCAGGCTACAGTTTGAACCTGCAGGAAGACCTGAATCCCCAGGAGATTATTACTTGATGGTTAAAGAGAACCTGTGTGTTGTATGTGGCAAGACAGATACCTACATCCGGTGAGTAATGTGTTAGATTAAGTAACCTGCCTCCTGTGGGAATTGCCTGTGTAGTCACATGCTGAGCCCTAAGATACCTTGGTTAAGTTTTCCCACATGGCAGTGTGTTTTAGGGTTTCTATTGCTGTGAAGAGACACCATCCATGACAACTCTTATAAAGGAAAACTTTTAATTGGGATAGCTTACATTTTCAGAGGTTTAATCCATTATAATTGTGGTGTGATATGGTAGTGTGCAGGCAGATATGGTGCTAAAGAAGTAGCTGAATGTCCTAAATCTTCACTTGCAGGCAACAGGAAGTGAACTGTCTCACTGGGTGTAGCTTGAGCATAGGATACCTCAAAGCTCACACCCCCCCACACACATACTTCCTTTAACAAGGCCACACCTTCTCCTACAAGGCCACACCTCCCATTAATGCCACTCCCTTTAGAGGCCATTTTCTTTCAAACCACCACACAGAGAGTCTTAGCTCTATAAACATTGCAGCTTTCCTAACAGCTTCATCATTCTGCCAGGCCATCTCTAATGGCTTCTATCCCCCTTAAGGGAGACCTTGAGGCTGTACCCCTGTATCCCCCTCCCCCAAGCTTTCAAGCTTTCTGAGCCTTAGTATTGTTTACAGAGTTCCCCAAGGCTGTTTTTTCACATTAGGGTTCCCACAGTGAACATAAGGCTGACCACTGGGGCTTGAGTACCTGTGCTTGGTCCTTCTCATGGCCCCTGTGTAGTAAATTCTCTTCTTTTTCTTCCCTCCCAACTTCCCTTCCTCCTTGCTTCCCCATTTCCTCTCCTTCCCACCATTCCTAGTGTGTTTTGTTATTTTCTTTTTTTTTTTTAATCTTAATTTTGGTTAGACATCACTTTTTCTCATTTGGAGACAGAATGTTTCTTTTCTTTTTTCCCAGGCAGAGTTTCTCATGTAACCCTGGCTATCTAGGAACTCCCTCTGTAAACCAGGTTGGCCTTGAACTCAGACATCCATCTGCCTTTGCCTCCTGAGTGCCACCACCACCTGGCTGAGACAGAATATGTCTATGTAGTCTTGAATGCAGTTATCCTCCTGACTTAGCCTTCCAAGCCCTGGGGTTCCAGGCTTGTGCCACCGTGCTGCTTTAAGTCATTCACTTCTTGTCTTTCTCTGCAAAGTGAGACAGCTGTTGCCACTGAGAGTTTTTCCTGAGAACTTAGTTCTGCTGAGACAATGATGACAGATCTTGGTGAGCCAGAAAGTAGTGTCAGAGTGAGGGAGTCCTCAGATAAAGAAAATTGGTTTGCTCAGCCCACCAGACTTTTGAAGAGTTATTTTGATTAAATTAAAAGCCATTATAATATCATTTCATTTCTCTGAGACTCTCCTTTCTAGGAACACTGGCTGTTACTAGCCTCTGCCAGTCAAGCCTGACAGCAGGGAGTCTGTACTTAATTCAAGGAGAGAGGACCCTATGAGCACTGGTAGATAAGGCAGGCAGGTGGGCCTGAGAGTGACATAGGTAATATTATTGCCTTCATGTAACCTCTATTGAGTTGTGTTGCTCAAGCCTTTCCAGTCACATTTAGGCCCAGGTTAGACTCCAAGTAGTTCATCTGTATCATAAGCTAATGAGCACTGCTCTTGGGGTTGGCTCGTTCCAGGAAAAATATCATTCCACATGAGTACAGAAAGCATTTTCCTATTGAGATGAAGGACCACAACTCCCATGATGTGCTGTTGCTCTGCACCTCCTGCCATGCCATCTCCAACTACTATGACAACCATCTGAAGCAACAGCTGGCCAAGGAGTTCCAGGCTCCCATTGGATCAGAGGAGGGCTTACGCCTGCTGGAAGATCTAGAGCGTAGGCAGGTGCGTTCTGGAGCCAGAGCCCTGCTCAACGCAGAAAGCCTGCCTGCCCATCGGAAAGAAGAGCTGCTGCATGCACTCAGGGAGTTTTATAACACAGATACTGTTACAGAGGAGATGCTCCAAGAGGCTGCCAGCCTGGAGACCAGGTATGACTTACTGTTGTGTTCAGAGAAAGGATAGGGGATGATCCAGTGACAGCAGCTTCATGAAAATGATTGTCACAATCCCAGTGCTTAGCCACATGCTTATTAATCTAGTATCTAATTGTTGAAGATACCATGGGGCAAAATCAAACAGTTTGAGACTTTCTTTTTCAAAAGAGATGGTGAGATGACCCAACAGGTTAAGGTGCTGACAACATTACTTGGATCCCTAGGACTGACATGGTGGATTGAGTGAACCAGTTTCCAAAAGTTGTCCTCTAACCTCCACACATGTTCTATGGCACGCTTGCACGTGTGGACTCCTACAAGTGTACACACACAGACAACACACACACTTAAATAAGATGTGATTTTTTTAAAGCGAGATTTTCCAATTGTGAGGTATCTGTTGTTGACTCTGTAAAGTCAAGTATAGTTGGTCTCATGCATCCTTCTGTAGAGGTTAATCCTAAAGTCAGCACATAAGATGAAAACAATAGCCAATTAATACCCTGAAATCTCTGAATTGCCATGAAGTAAATAAAGTATATGTGGTTTTGTGTGTCTTACTTCATACCTAGATTTTTGACCAGTGCATTCATTCATATTTCTTGTCTCACTGCACATAGGGTCTGAACCTACTGGATAGAATTTTGAGCAAACCACTGTCCTATTTCATCTTTTTTCTTCTTTCCTTTTTCTTTCCCCCTTCTTCCATATGAGTACATAGTTGAATTAATATGACACAACTCAATGTTTCTAAACAAGCAGTTTATGATCCTGAGGCATGAACATGCACGTACATGGCTCAAACAATAAGCATTTTAGGTTACTATGTAGCTGTAGTTCCATAAAACTCTGATAATGAGGCTGATAATAAACAAGTAAAACGATATTTATAGCAGCAAACATTTCTTTATTCAAAAAGTATTTGTTTCACTCATACTACTGATCTGCCACAGCTAAGAGATACTGTATTTTCTAAACAAATACTTAAAGATACACTGAAGTGTGCAACACCAAACTCAAACTACATAAATTGGCTTTTTATTTCTACTAGCAACTTAATGACATTTTACTTTTACCTTACATATTTTTTAAGTGTTCAAAGTTTTTTTCCCCCTCTGAACAGGGTTTCTGTGTGTAGCTCTGGCTGTCCTGGTGTCCTGGAACTCACTCTGTAGACCAGGCTGGTCTCAAACTCACAGAGCTCCTCCTGCCTTTGCCTCCTAAGATTTGGGATTAAAGGTGTGCACTACCATGCTTGGCTAGCCATATACCTTTCCAATAAGCAGGTCCCAGAGTTAGATGATAGATTGAGACTGTGTCAGGATGTTTGGAGACAGAGTGAAAACATATGGGACTGGGCATGGTGACACTACCAGAGGCAGAGGCAGGTATATCTGTGTAAGTTCAATGCCAGCCTGGTTTACCTACTGTGCTCCAGGACAGCCAGGACTACATAGAGATGCCCTGTCTCAGAAAACAAATAAGAAAAAGTGGGAAGCTGATGAGGCAAATAATAAAACACCTGCAAATACTAGAGAACCCAAAGTTGCTAAGCTGGCGGGGGCTTGGCTGGAGGACTGGGAGTTAGTGAGAGAAAAGAAGCTTGGAGCAAGGTGTTTTTGAGAAAAGTGTTTTTTTTTTTTTTCCCCTTTGAAGGAGGTGGAGGGAAGCTCTGCTCTCATAGTATCAGCAGTTATTATGGTTTCCTGTCTAGCTGGGGAGTAGGCAGGGATTTCATCATCTATAGTATACCATCTGCACAGCTGAGCAGCCATGGGAACTTCTCACTATGACTGAAACACTCCCTGCCAATGTGGTCTGACATTTTTTGTGTGTGTTTGTGTGAAGAAGAAGGCACTGAAGAAATGGACTGCCTTAAATTTTACACCCAGGTTTGGCAGTGTTCTGAAAAGCCAGGCTATGTGGGCTGATTTAACAGCCTTATTTTAATACTGAGTATGGTTTAGAATAAATTGTTAATGGCCTACAGAGAAGTAAACTATTCCCTGAGTAGCCTTGGTCCAACAGATACAAGATCAGTATTCCTCACCCATCACCATGGGCCAGGCAGTAGGTTTCCCTATAAGTCTGATTGTATGTATAACTCAAAACCCTAAATGCCTTCAGTGTGAGCCTTGTATGCTAAGTATTAAGAGGTGAGAAAAAGGTATTTTGAAAACATTAAAACAGTGTGTATTTTGGGGTCTCTCTCTTATCTGCCTGTGGGACTGCCAGTGCTTATTTAGCTCAGATCCTCTGCAACTTCATGTTTTGGCAGAATATACAATGAAAGCTATATTCCTCATGGGCTGAAGGTGGTACAGCGTCACACGGAGGGTGGGCTGCGCTCCCTCATGCAACTGGAGAGCCGCTGGCGTCAGCACTTCCTGGACTCCATGCAGCCTAAGCACCTTCCCCAGCAGTGGTCAGTGGACCATAACCATCAGAAGCTGCTCCGGAAGTACGGGGATGACCTTCCCATCAAGTTGTCGTGATTGCTGCTTCCTGCAGGTCAGGACAGGTGGGAAGCTGGAGCCAAGGTTAAATTACCTCCTGCTGTTTAATGTCATTGGTGGAAGCCCAGATGACTGGCTCATAGTGCTAAGTTACACTAACCCCAGGTACTTCTGATGGAGCAAGGCTGTTGTTTTAAGGGGAGCCCATGGTTTGGAATTTTAATTGAGGAGTTTATTCTTTCTCCTCCTTTCTCCCCTATTTCTGTGTGCAAGGGAAGCTTGGACTTTATTTTCACTCTTCCTCTCTGCTTTTCATGTTAAGAGGGAGAACAAAGATGTCTCTCTGGAGTAACTTTGTCAGGCTCTGAGAGACGTTTGTACTTCTCTCCCCTCTCCACTGCATTGCTTTCTCTGGGGCAGGGAGAAAACTTCCTTCTGGAGTTGAAGAAGTGACCCAGAGTCAGATTCATATTCCTAATTCAACCTCATGATTTTAATCTTTCTTGCTTTTCCATATTCATTTATTAGGGTCTATCCCAACTTTATTACTTGGATTTATTTTACATGCTTGGAAATGTTCCCACTTTGCATATAGGACCAAAGCCCAGCTTACTGCCATGTGCTTCTTCCTTGTCACAGGGGAAGTCCTTTTCTGGAAATGAGTTTTCAGCTGGGTGGGTCCCAAGTATACAACCATTCCTAGGAGAGCTTTGATACGTTGTTCAGCCTCTCCTCCTCTGGATATCTCTGCTCGTTGCCTGTCTCCTGTCCTGCTTCTGGGAGCTGTCACTTCCTCCGTCAGTGTTCATGTTCGGTTGCTTTTGCGATACTGACCTCTCCTTAACACTTAATTCACTCCCAGAGCCATTTGGCCAGGTGAGGACGTCACCTCCCCTGGAGCCTGGGACACTGAGATTAACTGATGCATTGCAAGTTTAAAAGGGTAATGTTTCATCTTTCAAAATGTTAGACTACTACTTTGAGTATGAAATCAATTTATTAGCAATTAGTATTTTTTCTAAACTATTAGGGAAACTTTCTTATTTTATAAGCTCTTAATAAGCTTGAGCAGAATTTTATGGCCAGAATCCAAAAAGAGTTCTATTTTGGAATTGTACCCAAGTTGGTTATAACCGATCTGACATTGATAAATAAAACAACTTCAAAGCACAAGGCTCAGTGACTGTAAATGTGAAACTTCTTTCTGACGTTATAAAATCAGCAGGTACTCTTGGGGGAGTTTCTATTTATTCTGCAGAGTCCCTGCCTCATGGCAGTAGTATGATCCTTACACATGAATATACTACTCACACTGCACCTAGCCCTTGGACTAGGTGTGCAGTCCACAAATGGATGTGTGCTGCACTCTGTCCCTCTGCCCTGCCTTCCCATTTCTCCTCTCACAGGCGTTTCTAGGATCAGGACTAGACATTCTTAAAAACAAACAGTACCAGCCGCTCTCGGGACTCTAATGTAACGTAGTAGATCATCACAAAGCCTGTAACTCCTGGTTATGGACACTCCTGGCTAGAGACTTTCTTGAAAAGCCCAGAGATGAATGAATGGGAGGATAGCTTGCTTCTTGGTTATGGTAGTTGCCAGGCTCCCCACAAGATGGCGCTAGTGCATAGATTTTTTTTTTTTAATATCCATTCTTGAGAAATAAGCAACTTTTTAAAAAAAAATTTATTTTTATTCTGTATACATTGGTGTTTTGCCATGGGTGTCAGGTCCCATGGAACTGGAGTTACAGACAGTTGTGAGCTGCCACATGGGTGCTAGGAATTGAACCCAGGTCCTCTGGAAGAGCAGTCAATATTTTTAACCACTGAGCCATCTCTCCAGCCCTCTTCCCCTCCTCCACCCCTGAGAAATAAGCAACTTTTATACATGGTCACTGAATATAACTTGTGACCTGTGTTTCTAAGTATTTGTAGTGAATTCTCAGTCATTTCTATAGCTTTATAAGAGCAGGCTCTCCAGTGGGGTCCCTGTCCAGGTCCAGTGTGAGAGTGCCCACAGCACATAGAGGACAAAATCAGTCTGTGCCACAAAAGTCCTTCCCCCTTTCCTAAAGAGTTGCCTTGTAGCTTGGAATCTATATTCTAAGGTTGCTGAGAAATTTTGAGCCTTTTTATGAGTGAAAGTTGCCATCTTTTTTGTTGTTGTTGTTTTCCCCGAGAGGGTTTCTCTGTGTAGCCTTGACTGTCCTGGAACTCTGAAGACCAGGCTGGCCTCAAACTCACAGAGATCTGCCTGCCTCTGCCTCTGCCTCCTGAGTGCAGGGAGCCACCACCACTGAGCAAAAGTTGCCATCTTAAATGAGAAATTTCAGGGTAAATCTATTTTCTGATATCAAGTCCATGAAACTGGGTGTAGGTGGCTCCTTTCTGTAGTCTTTGTATGCAGGAGAAAGAAGCAGGAGGGTGTTGAGTTCAAGGCTAGCCTGGACTACATGCTGAGTACATGCTCATTAGAGAAGGAATAACAATCAGTTGTCTTCCTTCTGTCTGGAGCAGAACTATGCTTTGGTGATATGGTTAAGAATTTTCAGTCAGTCAGGTGTGGTGGTGCACACCTTTGACCTCAGCACCAGGAGGCAGAGGCAGGTGGAGCTCTGAGTTTAAGGCCAGCCCCATCTACAGAGTGAGTTCCAAGACAACTAGAGCTATATAAAGAGACTCTGTCTCAAAAGAAAAAAAAAAGAAAGAAATTTTCATTATTTTAAAATATATGTATCACTGGATGATGGTGGTTCACACCTTTAATCCAAGAACTTGAGAGGCAGAGTAGGGTGGATCTCTGTGAGTTCGAGGCCAGCCTGGTCTACAGAGTGACCCTGTCTCAAAAAAAAAACAACCCTCCAAAACAACAAAGTATATCTTCAATATTTAAACAAAATTGTTATATTGTGTGTGTGTATATATGTGTGTGTATGCATCCTAATTTTTCCCCATTCATTGACATGGCATCACAAGTAATTATCTTTGAAAATAAAGTTCTACCCAAGTGTATGGCTTATGCTTGTAATCCCAGCCCTTGAGAAATGGAGGCAGGAAGATCAGAACCTTAGGGTTATCTTCAGCTACATAGTGAGCTTAAGGCCAACCTGAGCTATATGAGCCCTTGTCGCAGAACGAAACAAAACAACAGAAAACCAATGAAAATCAATGTTAATATATTTCTGGTAGCTCTCCTTCCTTCAGTCATATAGCCCCATACTCTGTTGTTTCAAATCCTTCATTACCAGTTATGTGGAGATAAACTTTCTTGTGTATGCCTTACCTTGCTCTGTCCTTGGTAATTTCTTTAGGATACCCAACCCTAGAATTGGATTTGGGGTGTCACTATGGCAGCTAGTACTAATTAACATCAGCTTAGGTATAGCGTGCACATTGAGGGAACATATCTTTTTGACCCCTTAAGCTCCAAGTGCCCTGAACACCAGTTGAGCATCTGTGAGTTGGAGTGGTCCCTTTATGCCCTGGCTATTATGTAGGTGGCTTTGGACTTCTTCTTCCCTCCCTCCCTCCTTCCTTCCTTCCTTCATTCCTTCCTTTTTTTCCTTTCTTTTTTGGTTTTTGGAGACAGGGTTTCTCTGTGTAATAGCCCTGGTTGTCCTGGGACTTGATTTATAGACCAGGCTGGCCTTGAACTCAGGAGATCTCGTGCCTCTGCCTCCTGAGTGCTGTAATTAAAGGTATACGCCACCACTCCTGGCTATGTCTCTGTTACCTTTTGTCTACCATTCTCCATTTCCATGTTCCCTTCTCTACCTGTGTAGCCAGTGGTTTTTGGAAGTAGTTTATTTAAAATTTTTTGAATGTAATTTTTCAATTAAAAACAATTCTTTATTTTAAAATAAGGTTATGTTCAGATTCTTTTTGAAAATAGATCTGTGTTTAATAACTTGTCATTCTAAAGTGAATGAAACACATATTGAGAGATTTGCTGCCACTTAATAGTGCAGCCATAAGTTACTTATTCTTACCCATGTCACCAGTAGTAGGTCAGATGACAAATGTGTTTTATTGAAATAAAGCCGTCTTAATCCCCTGTTCTCAGTTCTTAGAAAATCAGCAGGCAGAGAGCACTTTGCTTTAGCTTTTTATTTGGCCTCTTTAATGGTTGGATTCTTGATTTACCTTGCCTATGGGTCTTTTTATTCATTCATTTATCTTTTATTTTTCATCATTAGGTCTCATTTTTAAGTATCCTTAAAATGTATTTTACATTTTTGTGTATGGAGTGTTTGTATGTGTATGGGTTCATGTGTGCCAGGGTGGATGTGTAGAGGTCAAGGGACTTCAGGAAGAGATTCTCTTCCTTCCACTGTGTGGGTTCCTGGGATCAAGCTCTGGTCAACAGGCTTGGTGGTACATGCCTTTACCCACTGAGCCTTCTCAGGGTTTGTCAAGGGAAAGCTCCCCCGAGAGTGGGATGGGCAAGTGGAGCTGGGGAGACATTTTTTCCCTAAAGATGTGTTGGTTTACTAATTATTATATTACTATTTGTGATGTATTTGAAATGCATACTGCTCCACCCCTGGTCTTTTGTTTTTCAAAAAATATACAATAAAGGTCATTATTAGACCTTTATGAAAAACCTCAAAATCAGTTTTTCTTAGGAGAAATGGTCAAGAAAGAGGGTGATTCTTGTTATGATTAACACAGCATAAATGATATAAAATAATATAATAAAATAATAATATAAAATGATATAAAAACACATAAGTTTTTATTTTTGGAATCTAGCTTGCTCTTCTGCCATTTGCCAAGTTCCCCCATGCTCTGGAGCACAATGATAGTGCATGATGGCATACAACCAGTGACCCACAGAGTCTAAAGTACCCTTTCCAGCCTCCTGCAAGGAGATGCACCAGGGACTCCCTCTGAGATCAGAATGTCATTTGAGATGGTGTAAATACACTGATCATATTTCCTTGTTTACTTTGTCTGTGGCCATCTCTGATTGGTGGCCCCTCAAAGCTATGGGTAATGAACCAAATGGGTCATTGACTGATTGACTCTTGTGTAGCTCTGGGTGGCTTTGAACTCATAGAGATCCATGTGTATGTCTCCTGAGTCCTGGATTAAAGGTGTATACCACCACTGCCTGGCCTCTATGGCTGTGGCTAGCTTTGCCAGAGGCTTTATTAGGTCATAAACAATATATCACCACACTTTCCTCATGGTGTCTGAGAAAGGACTGGGGAGGTATAACACCAGTTAGTCAGAATTCAAAGAAAAAGTAATATGGTGAGTATGACAGTTTTCATTGTCAACTAATCAGTCACCTGGGAAGACTCTTGATGAGGGAAGTGCTTCTGTGTGTGTTTATCTTATTGGATGATAAATAAAGTACTGTTTGGCCAAGTTAGGCAGGACTAGGAGTCAAGGAGGATTCTGGGAAATGTCGTAAAAAAGTGGTGATCCAGGCAGGAAGTGACATAACAGGGAGACTCATATATAAACAAGGGCAAGAAGAAAGTGGGCCCCTTCTCTCTTCCTCCAGAGTCACCATGTGAGCCCAGGAAGGCAGGATGCTTGCCACTGGTGTCCAAGAAGATAAGTCTTATAAAATATGTAGATTTATGATAATTAAGACTGAGCTAGCAGATGAGAAATCCTAGTCATTGGCCAAGCAGCATTTGTACCTAAGTCTCTGTATTATTTTGATCACCCACGTGGCTGGCAGAACTCAAGCGGGTGGCGGAAAGATTTATCGTAACAGACTCTAACTGAGGGATTGTCTAGATCAGGTAGGGTTATGGGGGATAGTTTGATTATGTTCATTGATGTGGGAAGAACAAAGCCCACTAAGGGCAGTACCATTCCCTGGTTTTGTCGTCCTGGACTATTTAAGAATGAAGAAAAGGCCAGGACGTGGTGGCTCACACCTTTAATTCCAGCAATTGAGAGGCAGAGGCAGAGCAGGTGGATCCCTGTGAGTTTGAGGCCAGCCTGATCTACAAAGTGACTTCCAGGACAGCCAGGACTGTTACACAGAGAAGCCTTGTCTCGAAAAATAAATGAATGAATGAATGAATGAATGAATGAATGAATGAATGAATGACTTCTAGGACAGCCAGGACTGTTACACAGAGAAGCCTTGTCTCGAAAAATGAATGAATGAATGAATGAATGAATGAATGAATGAATAAATAAGATAAACA